TGCCTAAACTTTCTCTTGCCTAGCTAGGGATTTCCTAGCTATGGATCCTAAGCTCTTAACTACTTATTTCACATGCTATCAGAGCAGGTCGATCCTGTGGGTGGGCCAGCCACCTAACTGCTTCCGCTGCTGTTCTGCTTCTAGCGCGCCTAGGGCTAATTTTTAGGGTTTTTCATCCCGCCGTGCGCTCGGGGCGCGCGGCGGTTTTCTGCCCGCCGTGCGCCCCGAGGCGCGCGGCGGTTTTGTGCCCTGGGGAGCCTACGCGCGCCCCGCCTGTCCGTCGTGGCGACCTGGGGAGCACGCGCGGCCCCCCGCCCAGCTCGTCGCGGCGCTCTAGGGCGCACGCGCGGCCCCGCCCTGCTCGTCGTGACGCCCTGGGGAGCCGCATGCGCCCCCTGCCTGTCCGTCGCGGCGCCCTGGGGAGCCGCGCCCGCCCCCTGCCCGTTCGTTGCGGCGCCCTGGGGAGCCGCGCCCGCCCCCTGCCCATCTGTCGCAGCGCCCTGGGGAGCCGTGCGCGCCACCCCCCCGCCCCGCCCGTCCGTTTTGGCGCCCTGGGGGTCGTGCGCCGTCCCTCCCCCCGCCGTCCCCCGCGCTCCTGCCCCTATCCCACCCGTTTTAGGGTTTTGGGGGTGAGGGGTGTGGGGGTGGTGGTTGTGGGGGTGTCGGTTGTGCGCGCCTAAACTTTCTCTTGCCTAGCTAGGGCTTTCCTAGCTATGGCTCCTAAGCTCTTAACTACTTATTTCACAGCGAGCACAGGGAAAAATGGCGCGAGGCCATGGACAGGGAGTTTAAGGCACTTGAAAAACGCAACACCTGGAAGATCGTACCTATCAGCGTGGGCACGGAACAAGACCATTCTCACTGGCGAATGGGTTTTTCGGGTGAAAACAAAGGCAGACGGAACCATCGACAAATTCAAGGCACACAGGGTCGTACGTGGCTTTGACCAAGAGCACGGACGAGACTTCACCGAAACATTCGCACCTGTTAGTCGGCACACCTCACTGCGGATTCTCCTCGCAATAGCCGCCATGAAGCGGAAAAGGCTTCGTCAAATCGACGTCGCTAACGCCTTTCTTTACGCACCCGTCGATGCCGAAATCTTCGTCGAGTAATTGTACGGCTCCAATGCAGATCCCAACCAAGTCTGTCAGCTACTGAAGTCCTTGTACGCCATCAAACAAGCCCTGAGACTGTGGCAGCAGTATCTATACGCGCGGCTAATCCGCATCAAATTCCGACAACTACCGCACGATCAAGAAATGTTACCGGCTCACGAAAGGAACTGTCTACATCCTGCTGATAGTCTACGTGGATGATCTACATTACATCGGCTCGACCGACGGCGTCACAACCTGGTTCGAAGGGGAGCTGCAGCGGGACTAAACGCTCACTGTCTCAAAATACGCGTCACCAGCAGTTCGAGTACTGCATGCTGCTGACTGGACAAAGCCACGTCACCAGCAGCGACACTCCAGAAGCAAAGGGGGGTGTTGGAAACAAGTAACTTGACGTTTCTCATGTGTCGGAACATCAATCTGTAAACGAAGCAACTAGCAACGAAGCAACGCGAATCAACCATTGGAGGTTGACAAACTGCTGGAGGTTACGTGAAGGTCAAAGGTCAGCGACCTTTGACTTGACAAATACAGCGCGACAGCAAGGACAAACAATTGACTCGATGCTGAGCAGTTGCCCGAGCCGTCACTGAATCGAACCACAACAACAACAGTAAAACAGTTATTAGTTGCACCCTTTCATATTCCTTATAATCTTATAAATAGCTTGTATGACTTTTTGTCAAGAATGAAATTGTTGGTTCATTGATGAGGGTTAGGGTACATATAACAAACCCTAACATCTGTACCCCCTAAGACAAACCTCACTACAGGCTACAACATTTGACACACCCCCATAGCCTAAGTGAGGGGTGTCAAGCAAAACCAAAAGTGTACGGTCACAAGACCAGTCACAGAGAAACAAAGCTCAGGGTGGATCACAACGTCACCACACACTCTGAGCACAAGCAACAGGGGGCACAAGGCCAGTTCAAGAGTTCACAAGTGTGTATAGCAAGAGTACAAGCAAAGCAAACAGCACACTCAAGCCTATACACGACAAGAAACGGTGTCAACAAGGCCTAACTGCACACAACACCTCTCGTGGTCACAAGGCGGAAGCGCCTTGGTGAAGATGTCTGCACTGTTGGCCTCGAACTCCACAAACTCAAAGCGAGCCTGTCCACGTCTCTGCAACTCTCGCAGAAGAAAGTACCTGCCGTTAATGTGCTTCACTCTGCTCTCCAGTCGCGGCTCTCGACAAAGGAGAATCGACGCCTTGTTGTTAGTGAACAAGGTTGGTGCAGAGCTCGGCCGCTCACCAAGGTCGGCAAGTAAGACCAACGCAGCTCTTGTGCCGCCATGGCACCAGCGTAGATCTCAGCCTCAGCTGTAGAGGACAAGACCAAAGAGGAGCGCGTGGACTGCCACGAAACAGCTCCAGAACCCAAGCTGAAATAGTACCCCTGAGTAGACCTATGAGTCTTAGCGTCGTCAACGTAAGAAGAGTCGCAGTGACCAGTAAGTACGACAGGCTGCTGCCCTCCAAGAACTAGCCCCACGCCTGATGTCATCGCTAGGTACTTTGCCACCCTCACAGCTGCCGTCGAGTGAACAGGACGGTGTCTCCCTGGCGTAACAAAGCGAGTAAGGATGCTGAGAGGGAAGGCGAGGTCCGGGCGAGTGCAAGTCATCAGGTACATGAGGCAGCCCACCAGCTCTACGTAGGGACCACTAGACTCAAACGGCTCGTCAGGAAAGGGTCCAGTAAGTCTGTGGTCAACAGCAAGAGGTGTGCGCTGTACTGTGGAGTGCTGAAGCTCGAACCGCTGAAGGACATGTTGCACCATGTGTGACTGTGAGAGTGTAATGGTGCGAGCGGCTCTGCCCCTGGTGATCTGCAGGCCAAGGTAGTGGCGCAGCTCACCAAGGTCAGTGCACGTGTGTCTCTTCTGCAGTTCGGACTTCACGTCTGCCAAGGCAACTCTGTCAGCAGTGGTGAAAACCAGGTCGTCGACGTAGACCAGAACAAAGAACGGTGTGGAGCCACGACGAACGAACAGCGACGGGTCGGCAGAAGACGGCTGGAACCCAAGGTCAGAGAGGGTAGAACGAAAAGTGTCGTGCCACTCACGAGGAGCCTGACAAAGACCGTAAACAGGTCGCCTCAGCCTCCACTGGGTCCTAGGAGGGAAAGCGTCAGTGAAGGCAGAGGGACGACGCAACCAGACCTCCTCGTGTAAGCTACCCTGAAGGAAAGCAGTGGAGAAGTCGAGAGAGTGTAACTCGTAGTCTCTTTGTGCTGCTACGTGCAGTAACACCCGAAGAGTGGTCATCTTCGGGGTAGGCACGAAGGTATGAAAGAAGTCAACTCCCTCACGGTGACTGAAACCTCTAGCCACGTAGCGCGCCTTGAAGACCGGAGGAGATCCCGGTGGCCGCTTCACCTTGTAGATCCACATGCCATCGAATACGTTCGCCCTAGGGGGGGGAACCTCGTCGACGTAGGTGCTTGTGGATCTGTAGGAGACCATCTCAGCATCCATGGCAGCTCTCCACTGAGAGGCCCAAGGCCCTGACACTGCCTCAGCGTAAGTGCGGGGATTCGGTATGTCAAGGGCATCGGGGTCTCCCTCAGGGGCGAGCAGCATGGCACAAAGATGTGGGGAAGCGGCTGCCAGGAACTCTAGCTCAAACTGCCTGTCCTCTAGGACGTCACAGCCAAGGGCAGACTCACCCCCGACGGCCAGAGGACTGGTAGGAGGAGCAGCCACAAGACCGGTGGCGTAGTCAAGGCGGCGTGTGGAGGCAAACTCAGTGACTGCGGCAGTAAGGGCGGAGACAGAGGAGACAGAGGCACCAGGGTCGGTAATAAGAGAGGCGAGAACACGAGAGAGAACAGGACGGTACATGCGGTAGTAGTCAGTGACAAGAGTAGAGAGAGAAGCAGTGAAGGCCGACTCAGGAGGAGGCGGAAGGAGAGACGGAGACGAACGAGGCGGACTAGAATGAAAGGGGGCAGTACAAAGGTCGGTAACGAGAACAGGAGACGAGGGACGAGCACGAGGGGAGCGACGAGAGGCCCAAGTCTGAGAAGGAGGAGGGGACAACGGAGGCTGAGAACGAGGGAAAACAGCCGGGGAGGGGTCAGGAGGAGGAAGCGGAGGACTCGAGACGGGAGGAGAGGGGGAGGAGGAAGGAGAGTGAGGGGAGACCGAGGGCCCGAAGACCAGAGACAGGAGGAGGAGGCGGCAACTGCTGCTGCTGTGGCGGATGCTGCTCCTCCTGCTGCTGCAGGGGCTCCAGCGGCTGCGCCTCCTGCTGCTGCGGCGGCTCCAGCTGCGGCTGCTCCTGCTGCTACTGCTGCTCCTCAAGCCGCTTCAACTCCCTCTCCTCTCTCTCTTGTGAAGAAATTGAGGAATGAAGAAGAGAGAGGGGTTCACTAGCAAACATTGGGATACATATAGCAAACCCTAAAAGGGTTGTACTCACTAAAGAGTACCCCACTGCAGACTAGAGATACATAATATTCTGACATCTCCAACTCCAGCTGCTCCTCACGGGCACGGCGAACACGATCCTAGTGCTAGGTCGGGTAGGGGTGGGGGGGAGGAGTAGTGTAGGGGGTTGCGGCAGCCCCGGGACCACCCTCCAAAGCACCTGGCGCACCACCCCCAGAGTCACGACCACCAACAGCAACACGACCAGGCTCACCAGTACCCGAAGTGGGTGCACCCGCACCCCCAGACGTAGCACCCCCAAAGTCAGCAGGACCAACACCAGCTCCCGGAAGACAAGAGTCTCCTGCAACCACGGGCTCAACTCCAACTCCAGCACCCCCAGAGCTAGCACCTGTAGGGCCCTCTCCACGAGCACCGGCTCCCGCAGGGTCTGCCGTGGGCTGCGAGGAGGACTGCGGGGAAGGAGGCTGCACCTGAGGGGCTACCGAGGGGGGAGGGGTAGCCTGGGACACACCTGACGGGGCGGGACCAGGGGGGGAGGCTATACCGGGGGAGCAGGAGGGGGAGCAGAAGTCAAGAAGAGAGGGGGAGGAGGAACCGGGAGACCTCGACTGGGGTACCTGACGTAGTAGGGGGTGGACTCCTCGAAACGGACGTCACGGGAGTCAAAGAACCGGTGAGAGGGAGGGTGGTAAAAGGTGAAGTCAGAGGAGTCCTCAGGGAAACCAAGGAAGACACAGGGAACGGCGCGAGGCGAGAGCTTGTCCGCGGAAGTGTCGTGGACAAGAGCCAAGCAACCCTAGACACGAAACCTCGACGCAACACCAGGGGACCCGGTCCAAAGACTAGTCGGTGAAGCCTTTGGCCGAGAGACGCGTGGTCAGAGGTTCAGCTGGTGAGCGGCGTACCTAACCGCATAAGGCCACAGAAAATGGGGGGCACGGCGTGAGTCAAGGAGGTGTGGGCAATCTCCATGACCAAGCCTATGCGGCGCTCAGCAACCCCATTCTGTTGTGGGGACTCTGGAAGCGTCCAAGACTGACGAATGCCCTGTTCACGACAGAATCCAGCGAGAATGCCGGAGCGAAACTCACCCCCACGGTCAGAGTGAAGACAGTTGATACGATGACGAGGAGTGCCCTCAGTGGTAAGCAACTACCTGATCAGCCTAGAAGTCACCTCAGACTTCTTTGCCAGGGGGAACACTGTGGTGTAGCGGGAGTAGTCGTCAACGATCACTAAAAAGAAACGCTCGTGCTCAGGGCCAAGGCGAGGGGCGGGGCCAAAAACGTCCAAGTGGAGCGTCTCAAAAGGCTCGGTGGCCGGAGGAAGGGAGGAGGAGTGAGGAGTGGCGCGCAGCCGACCCTCGACGCAGGGACTGCACGGCAGTGCAAGCAAAGGCGGCAGCGACGGCAAGACACGCGGGAGGCCTAAGGCAAGACGCTGACGAGACATAGCGCGCAGACGAGGGAGGGACGGGTGCCCCGTCCGGTGGTGCCACAGAACAGTGGGGTGTGCAAGCGACCGGCAGGAGCACGACGCAACAACTGGACCAGACACGGGAACCTGACCAGACCCAGCTACCTGGGGGGACGCAGCAACCTGGTGAGACGTAGGGACCAGACTGGGGGAAGCAACCGGGGCCGGGGGCAGGAGTCGCTGCTGCTGCTGCTGCCGCTGCTGCTGCTGCCGCTGCTGCTGCTGCTGCTGCTGCTGCTGCTGCTGCTGCTGCTGCTGCTGCTGCTGCTGCTGCTGCTGCTGCTGCTGCTGCTGCTGCTGCTGCTGCTGCTGCTGCTGCTGCCGCTGCTGCTGCTGCTGCTGCTCCTGCTGCTGCCCACCAGGGCTGATGTGAAGTGTGTAGAGACCAGAGCCCGGCTCGGCAGTAAAGGTGGCAAGAGGCGAGTAAGTGTTGCCGTCAGCACAAACCGCCGTCTCACCAGAGGGCTCAATCCACACACCCACGTGCTGACTCACAAGAGGCCTCATGCCCACCAAGTTCCTCGAGAACGAGGGGACGTGGAAGCCAGTCAGAGACCCAGAGGGAACAGCAGGGCAGGGAAAAGTAGTAGTGTAGCGAGCAGTGACTAACCCCAAGGTGGGATCAGCCAGGGCCACAAAGACTGGCGCAAGAAGTGGAGTAAGTGTCGTGTGGTCGCGGAAGAAGCAGTGCGAAGCCCCAGAGTCCAGAGTGAAAGACAGCGAAGCGTCCTCCAAAGTAGTGCTTGGACTAGTGTCTACACAAGTGCCTACACTAGCAATAGGCAACTCAGCAAGACTAGCACCTAAGCTAACAATACGCGAGTAAACGGAGTCAGAAGCACTAGAGTCAACAATAGCATACATAGCATGAGGAGTTCCTAAGAGATCAAGCAACTGAGAAGCAGACATGCCCCAAATAGTGGAGCCGTACGTCTGAACAAGAGGTAGCCAGTCAGGGGCAGGGCCGCCAACGCCGAAGGCCAAGCGAACCGTGTCAGTGAGCTGAGCAAAGCACTGACCAGGAGGGTGGGTGCGGCCACAAGGCTGGCCTCGGCGAGCACCTGTTAGAAGCTGATAGGTGCACGAAGGGTGAACAACACCTCGCTGAGGCCGACGCTGTCCTGGCCCTGAAACCTGCTGTTGCCGCTGCTGCTGCGGGGGCTGCTGCATGGGGAGGGGCTGCAGCTGCTGCTGCTGCTGCTACTACTGCTGCCGCTGGGCCAGGTACCACGCCGCTGCTCCACCCACCGCGGCCGGCAGACCAGAAGGTGGCTGACGAGCCCGGGCGTCGCCTCCACTAGCTACAGTAGCAGAGTCACCGGCCGCTGCACGCGACGCCTCTCCTGGTCCTGCACTCCCGCCGCCACCAGTCGGCACGCCACCCCCACCACCCCCGCCGCCAACGCCTCCACCGTTGCCGCCACCTGTACCCTGACCGCCCCTCTTGCCACGTCTACCTCGAGACCGCGAAGAAGTCGTAACAGCAGCTGCGGTCACGTCAGTAGCAGCAGTGGCGAGAGAGGCTGTAAAGGTGGGCAGCTGAGGGACAGTGCACCCGTGGAACAGTGGAGGGGGCACAGCACCAGAGGCGGAGGCTACGGAGCAGAGGTTGCTCTCGACGTCCTTGAGCGCAGACGCTAGGACCTCGATAGTGAGCTCACTAGGGTGCTTCAGAAGAAGCGTGTCACGGACTGAGGCAAGGCGGTCAGGTAGGCTAGTGGCAATGAAATAGATAGTAATTGCCATGGGGGAGGGAGCAGTGCAAGCTGTGCCTCAGTGCAAGCAGCGCGGTAGCTAGAATCAAGCGAGCGGAGGTGAGCAATTAAGTCAGCAGAGTGCTCAAACGAGGCGAGGTCAGGGAACAAGAACGGTAGGAAGAGTCGGCCAAGAGAGACAGTGGTGGGAGTAGCGTAGCGGGCCTTAATCGCAGTCAGGAACTCACTAGCAGTGCGAACCTGAGTAAAGTGGGCCTCCTCGAACGGTAGGCGCCCCGCGTTTCCTCGAACGACAAAAAGCAGGGCGCCGCGGCGACGAAACGCAGGGCGCCGCGGCGACGAAACGCGGGGCGCCGCGGCGACGAAACGCGGGGCGCCGTAGCGACGAAACGCGGAGCCCCGCGGCTACGAAATGCGGGCGCCGCGGTGACGAAACGGGGGGCGCCTCGGCGACGAAACGAGGGGCGCCGCGGCGACGAAACACGGGCGTTTAGGGCAGCGGGGGGAGGACGCAACGCGACGAGCAGCGGGGGAGGGCGTGATGGGACGAGAAGCCGGGGAGAGCGCGACGCGACGAGCAGGGGGGGGAAGGCGCTACGCTACGCGGAAAGCGGGTCGGCGGAGCGAGCGCTAACGAACGAGCGAGACTGGATCAGGCCGGCGCTAACGAACGAGCGAGACTGGATCGGGCCGGCGCTAACGAACGAGCGAGACTGGATCGGGCCGGCGCTAACGAACGAGCGAGACGGGTACGACTAGTACGGGAGAGCGAGACAGGCTCGGGGGGAACGAACGAGGACGAGAGGTGCGGGATCCCACAGGATCCTAACCTAGGTGATACCATGTCAAGAACGAAATTGTTGGTTCATTGATGAGGGTTGGGTAACATATAACAAACCCTAACATCTGTACCCCCTAAGACAAACCTCACTACCAGCTACAACATTTGTCACTTTTCTATAATTAATCTATCTTGCCCTCACACACTTGAGCAAGGTGGTTCAAACATTTGTCATTAAAACGCTTCCGCAACTATAACATTTCTACTCAGAGTTTAGCCTTGGAAAGGATCCTAAGGACTTTTCTCAGCCCAACATAGAGGAGCCAGTTGTTGAGCTGTAGTTTGTCATATGTCAGAATCTGAGTCAGATAGTTGAACTGTTTCTTCACTGTGGTATTAAAAATCACCTGCCTTTAAATTGAGTGTAACTCTGAACATTCAGCATAAAAAACCAAGTGTTGTCTGAATTTCCAGCCTCAACATAGGGGGCAACTCTGACTGGCAGAGTTCAGATAAGGGTGAACGCTGACCCATCAGAGTGTCCCAAAACGAATCTAGGGCCTGCTCTGAGTACGAGGAGCAACAGCAAAGGGAAGAGGATAACACTGTTAATATCAGGAGGCCTGTTGATGGTTTGAGTGCACGCTGTGTTCACGGTCTTGAGAGTGAAACGTAGTGCAGTAAACGCCACTGTGTTGCCGGGCTCTGAGTAGGAGCAGCAGCAAAGGGAGGAGGATAACACCATATGCAGTAGCAGCAGTGAAGGTATAGAGCAAAGGGAAAATTAAAAGGGGAATAGCGAGGCAACGATCGTTCCTTTTGACGTCCGCTCGTGATACGCGTATGATGGGAGCTAAACAGGAAACAGCTTTTGAGGCGCCTAAAAAGAGACTCACCAGATCATCAAGGTCTATGCTTAACTCTGAGTCCCTTATTCGCCGCGCCCCCCGCGCTGCTCTCACAGCTGCTCCACCGGCTGCTCTTGTTGCTCGTTCACCTATGCCCGATTGACCACCCCTCCCACACTCCTCCCCTTGCCCAGCCCTTGCTGCTGCTCTGTCTCCTGCGCCTATTGCTCCTCCTGCTCCTGCTTTCGCTGCTGCTTCTGCTTCTGCTTCTGCTGCTGCTGCTGCTCCTGCTGTTCCTCGTGCTCCTGCTCCCGCTCCTCCTATGACTCCCAAGTCTGCTTCCTCCTGTTCAGCCTTCCTCAGATTGCCAGCTTCCGAAGCACCACCCATCGTGCTACCAATCAAGCCCTCATCCACCATCCCCCCATGAACAGTGCCACAGCCATGGTTGCTACCTCTTCCATGAACAGCAGCGCGGTCATGATCAGTAACTTTGCCATCTGCCACATCCGCACACATCCTCTCCTCTAGCTCACCCTTACACTCTACATCGCCTTTCTCCCCTAACTTAAAAACGCCTTGTGGTTGCTCAGGTATAATCTCCCTCTCTCCCCCTTTCTCCTCTCCCTTTTTATCCTCTCCCCCTGTCTCCTCTCCCCCCTTATCCTGTGTGCCCCTTCCCTCTCCCCCTTTCTCCTCCCCATCCTTCTCTGCACCCTCTCTTCCCCTCGTCTCCTCTTCCCTCGCTCCCGCCCTTTCTTCCCTCTCCCTCTCATCCTTCTCCCTCTCATCCCTCTCCCGCTCCTCCCTCTCCCTCTCCCGCTCCTCCCTCTCCCTCTCCTCCCGTTCCTCCTGCTCCTCAATAATCTCTAGCAGCCTCGCCATGGCGTTGGGCTTCAACCGCCGCATGCCCCTGCCCAGCCGCCTTACCTCCTCTGGTGTCATGGGACTGGACGGTAACAGGGAGTGGGACACAGGAAAGAGAGGGAGTGAAAGGGAGTGAAAGGGAGTGAGGAAGGGAGGAAGCGAGAGGGCTCCTCAATGATCTCCAGCAGCCTCGCCATTGCGTTGGGCTTTAACCGCCGCATGCCCCTGCCCAAGCGCCTTACTTCCTCGGGAGTCATGGGACTGGAGGAGGGGTAAGTGGAAGGAAGGGAGGAATCAAGAGGGCTCCTCAACAATCTCTAGCACCCTCGCCATTGCGTTGCACTTCAGCCTTCCCATGGCTTACCAGCAGAGCGGGGCGATGGAGTCTATGAGCTGCAGCAACTGCTCATCCACGTGTGATGGGATGTGGGAAGCAGCAGCAAGGGGCATCATTCTAGTGGGAATAGTCTCATTACCCCACTCTCACCGGCAGAGTGGGGCCTCACCGGCAGAGCCGGGCGATGGAGTCTATGAGCTGAAGCAACTGCTCATCCACGTGTGATGGGATGTGTTGAGAGTGGGGAGAGGCGGCAATCTAGTCAGAAAAGTCACATTAAGTCACATTAAGTCACCTTAAGTCACCTTAAGTCACCTTAAGTCACCTTAAGTCACCTTAAGTCACCTTAAGTCACCTTAAGTCACCTTAAGTCACATTAAGTCACCTTAAGTCACCTTAAGTCACCTTAAGTCACATTAAGTCACCTTAAGTCACCTTAAGTCACCTTAAGTCACCTTAAGTCACCTTAAGTCACCTTAAGTCACCTTAAGTCACCTTAAGTCACCTTAAGTCACCTTAAGTCACCTTAAGTCACCTTAAGTCACCTTAAGTCACCTTAAGTCACCTTAAGTCACCTTAAGTCACCTTAAGTCACCTTAAGTCACATTAAGTCACCTTAAGTCACCTAAAGTCACCTTAAGTCACATTAAGTCACCTTAAGTCTCACACTCTCGCTGGCAGGAAAGCTGACAAGAAGGCACATCGCTTGGCTTGGCTTACCGGCAGAGCGGGGCAATGGAGTGAATGAGCTGCACCAACTGCTCATCCACGTGAGATGTGTGACAAACCAGAGAGGGGCAGTGAACCGCCTTGCACCTAGAGAGAGCGGCACCTAGAGAGAGCGGCACCTAGAGAGAGCGGCACCTAGAGAGGGCGCACCCCCCCCCTCATCTCACATGCAGTGAAGACAGTAAGGCAACCTGACTTGGCTGGGAGTGTTTTTTGAGAATTCTCAAAAAGCACTCCCCTCCCTCATCTCACATGCAGTGCAGACAGTAAGGCAACCTGGCTTGGCTGGCTTACCAGCAGAGCGGGCCGATGGAGTCTCGCAGCTCAAGCAGCCTTGCACCTAGGGAGAGCGGCTCACTCACCTCCTCCATCTCGCCAGAAAACGGTGGGGCAACTTGGCTTACCGGCAGAGTGGGGCGATGGAGTCTCGCAGCTCAAGCAGCTGCTGATCTGATCCACATGGGATGGGATGTCTGAAAGCCCATGATTGTCCCACTCTCACCAGCAGAACAGCAGTCAAGGAGGCACATCAGCATGCTTACCGGCAGAGCGGGGCGATGGAGTCTCGCAGCTCAAGCAGCTGCTGATCCACATGGGATGTCTGAAACAGCAGAGAGGGGGGACAGAGGGGATGGGATACGAGGGTTGGGCTGATGTGAGAGGGAGGGGGGGTGGATGGACGGCTGGTGTGAGAGGGAGGGGGGGTGGATGGACGGCTGGTGTGAGAGGGAGGGGGGGTGGATGGACGGCTGGTGTGAGAGGGAGGGGGGGTGGATGGACGGCTGGTGTGAGAGGGAGGGGGGGTGGATGGACGGCTGGTGTGAGAGGGAGGGAGGAGGGATGCTTGCCACTAGCTTCACCTCGCCTGCTTGTTCCTCCCTCTCTCTCCCTCTCTCCCCCCCTCCTCCTCTCCTCCCCTTCCCTTTCACCTCTGCTGCTATCTGCCTCCCACTTCACTCCAGCCACCCCGCTTAGCCCCTACTCTTGTGACTTGCCTGCTCCCTCTCTTCCTCCCACCTCTCCTCACCTCTGCTGCTATCCGCCTTGCACGGCCGTCCATCGCTCACTCTTCTGCCTCCCCCTTCACTCCACCCTCACATCAACCGCAGTGACTGGAGCTCCCACTCACCTCTTCGCCCTCTTCCTTCGGCTCCACTCACCTCGGCTACTATATGACTTGCACGGCCGTCCATCGCTGCTTTCTCTGCCTCTGCCTTCACCCGACTCTCAAACCAGCCCCAATGATCGGAGCGCCCACCTCTCCCGTCTTCTCCCTTCACCTCAGCTCAACTCCGCTGCTATCTGAGTCGCACAGCTATCCATCCATGGCACAGCCATCCGTCCATGGCACAGCCATCCGTCCATTGCTGCCCCCTCCACACCCCCCTTTCACTCTTGCAGCGCAGCTAGCTACCACACTCACCTAGCCTGCTGGTGCGACTTTTGAGAATTCACAAAAGACTCACCTAGAATGCTACTTTCCATCCCAACCTTCACCTCAACTCACCTAAGCGGCTATCTGTCTTGCACGCCCATCCATTGCTGCCTCCTCTGCCTCTGCCTTCACCCAACTCTCACCTCAGTGACCGGAGCTCCCCTCTCTCCATTCACCTCACCTCTCCCCACCCCACCTCCCTTCCCCCTCTCCCTCACCTCAGCGGCTATCTACCTTGCACGCCAATCCATTGCTGCTTCCTCTGCCTCTGCCTTCACACAGCTCTTAAATCAACCCCAATCCGCCCCTCTTCTCCCTTTATCTCAGCTCACCTCAGCGGCTATCTGCCTTGCACAACCGTCCATTGCTGTTTCCTCGGCCTCTGCCTTCACTATTGCAGGGCAGCTTTTGAGGCGCCTCAAAAGCCTTCACTATTGCAGGGCAGCTAGCTACACGCCTCACTGCACCCGCTACCAGCCTCTTGAAAGAAGGAGTGTTTTGAGACGTCTCAAAATTCACCCGCTACCAGCCTCTTCCCCCTTCCCTCCACCCACCTCCGCTGCTATCTGCTTTGCACGACTGTCCGTTGCTGCCTCCTCCGCCTGTGCCTTCACTCCATCCCCCCCACTTAGCCCCTACTCTTGTGGCTTACCTGCTCCCTCTCTTCCTCCCACCTCTTCTCACCTCAGCGGCTATCTGTCTCGCACGACCGTCCATTGCTGCCTCCTCCGCCTCTGCCTTCACACGGCTCTCAAACGCCTGTAGCTGCTCCTCCTCCGTGCGCCTTCTCTTCTCCTGCAACGGATGGAATCAGGGTAGACCCAACAGCTGCATGTAAGCATACTCAGTAGCAGCCTACTCTCTGCCTCTGCCTTCATTCACCTGCCTCTCAAACGCATGTAGCTGCTCCTCCTCTGTGCGCCGCCGTTTTTCCTCAGACAGATGGGTTGCGGTACGGCTATTATTGAAGTGACTTTAGAGTCGATTCAAAAGTCACCTCGTTTTGAGTCGACTCAAAAGTCACCTCAGATAGGTGGGTTGCGGCTATTATTGAATATAAGGATGTTACTGCTAACACGTCCAGTAAATTCCCAAGATATTAAAAAAAAAAACGACCAGTTTTAAGAAGTATTGAAACCGGCATGCCCCCAACTCATCGCACCTCCTCTTGTATTCTCGGCACCATCACAGCTTGCCACTTCTCCTCGAATCGGTCCGAGAGAGCCTGGGCCATGAGGTATACCTGGGGGGGGTGGGATGGGAGGACGAATGGGAGTGTGGGAGGGTGGTTGGGATGGGTGGGTGGATGGGGGGGGGATGGAGGTGGTTTTTGCGTCGACTGTAGAATGAATCCCCGGCGCCACGCCATCACAGAGCCTGGGCCATCACAGAGCCTGGGCCATCACAGAGCCTGGGCCATGGGGTTCACTTGAGGAGGTGGGATGGGAGAGGATGAATCGGAGGGTGGGAGGGTGGATGGGATGGGTGGGTGGATGGGTTGGGTGGGTGAATGGGATGGGTGGGTGAATGGGCAAAATGGCATGGATGGGCAAAATGGCATGGATCGGCCAAATGGCATGGATGGGAGAATCGGTGGACAGGACAACTATTCACCACAAACCTTTCTCACTCCTCACAACAACCCCCTTTCACTCCTCTCAGCACCCTCTCATTCCCCCCAACCAACTCTCACTCCAGCCCATTATACATCATCGCACTTGCAATCACCAGCCATGCATACAAGCTACAGTATGCAAGCATGCACTCACCTCACTGACCCCTCTCACCTCTGAACTTGGTCAATTAACCTTCATCGCATTTGCAAACACCAGCTGCATGTACGCTGCAATCCCGAATCACTCCCATGCACCACCTCCCACTCCTCCCAATGCCCTCTCACTCCTCTCAATCCCCTCTCACCTCCGACCCTGGTCCATTGTACTTCATCGCATTCGCAAACACCAGACGCACATCCCGTGCCACCTCAGTGACGTGACTGTAATGAGGGGGCTGCAATGCAGCACTGATAGCAGCTGCAGCAACAGCACCCGCAGCAGCAGCAGCAGCAGCAGCAGCAGAAGCAGCATCGGATGCAGCGGCTGCTGCACCACCCGTAGGTTCTGCTTCTTTTCCCTCTTCTCCCACTTTTCCCTCGCCTGCCCCGTCTGCACGCGTGGCAGCGAGCGATTGGACGAGGTGGGAGCGGATGGTGCCCAGGTCCATGGGGTGGCTGATGATATCATGGTAGTCGGGCAGACCTAAACTTTCCGCATCCACAGGCTCGGCAAACACCCATCCGAACCTGTGCTTCAGAAGCTGCCAGGTACGGGCAAGAGAAGGTAAGGAAGCAGAGAGGCTCGGTAAACACCCACCTTAACCTGTGCTTCAGTAGCTGCCAGGTAGGAACGGGGGGTGAGATGGCATAAGTGGGGCAACGGGGCATGGGAATTGCACAGCACAGTACCGCACAGCACCGCTCACCTGCTTCACGATGCTGCCTGCTCGCTGCAGCATATCAGCCATCCTCTTTGCTCTCACCCTCGCCACCCTCCCCCCCTCCTCCCTCACTGCCCGCTTCACCCCTCCGATGCCCAGCCCCCTCTCCCCTCACCACCCATCAGCACCGCACAGCACTGTACAGTACCACACAGTACCGCCCAGCACCATACCGTACCACACACAACCACTAACCTGTTTCACGATGCTGCCTGCTCGCTGCAGCATATCAGCCATCCTCTTTGCTCTCACCCTCGCCACCCTCCCCCCCTCCTCCCTCACTGCCCGCTTCACCCCTCCGATGCCCAGCCCCCTCTCCCCTCACCACCCATCAGCACCGCACAGCACTGTACAGTACCACACAGTACCGCCCAGCACCATACCGTACCACACACAACCACTAACCTGTTTCACGATGCTGCCTGCTCGCTGCAGCATATCAGCCATCCTCTTTGCTCTCACCCTCGCCACCCTCCCCCCCTCCTCCCTCACTGCCCGCTTCACCCCTCCGATGCCCAACCCCCCCAAACCCACTCCCCCGGCGATCCCCCCTCCTCCCCCCGCTGCTGCTGCTGCTATCACAGCATTCATATGCTGTTCGTGAGCCTGCTCATGCTGCTGCTGCTGCTGGTGACCCTGTTTCTGCTGGTGGTGCTGGTTCTGGTGGGTTTGCTGCAGCTGCTGTTGCTTCTTTTTCTCCTGGTGATGCGGCAGCTGCTGCTGCTGCTGCTCCTTCCCTCCCGCTCCCCTGCTCCTCCTCCGCATGTCCCTCAGCTGAGCCAGTGCTGCTGCCTGCCGCTCCAACTGGTACAGGGAAGCGGGGGGGGGAGGAAGCGTGAAGGAGGGGGTTAGCAAGGATTAGGAAGTATCAACAAGTCTATAGCCCCTCCCGGCTCCCCTGCTCCGTCTCCGCACGTCCCTCAGCTGAGCCAATGCTGCTGCCTGCCGCTCCAACTCGTACAGGGAAGCGGGGGGGGGGGGGAGGAAGCGAGAAGGGTTGAGGGGGTTAGCAAGGATTAGGAAGTATCAACAAGTCTATAGCCCCTCCCGGCTCCCTTGCTCCGTCCGCGCATACCCCCCTCCCCCTCCCCCTCTCCCTGCTCCGTCTCCGCACGTCCCTCAGCTGAGCCAATGCTGCTGCCTGCCGCTCCAGCTGGTATAGAATCAGGAAGGGAAGGGGAGGAAGGGGGAATGAGGACTGAGTTGGGGAAGGGAGAGAGCGCTGATGAGGCTATTGCTGATTGGATTACAGGATACGAGCTCAAAGACGTGCATACCCCCCTCCCCTCTCCCTGCTCTGTCTCCGCACGTCACTCAGCTGGGCCAATGCTGCTGCCTGCCGCTCCAACCGGCAGGGAAGAGTTACCGGGACAGGGGGAAGGGAGAAGGGGAATGGAATGAGGGTTGGGAGTTTCAGCCCGTGCACAGACCCTCTCCCTGCTCCTCCTCCGCACGTCCCTCAGGAGCCAATGCTGCCGCCTGCCGCTCCAGATGGCATGGGAAGAGTTGAAGGGGAGGATACGTGGAATTTGAAGGGATAGAATATAGGTTACCAATCTTAACGCATCTATAAAAAAATGATGAGGATGTGGCGAAAACAAGGATGTGTGAAAAGAAAGGAGGTGCGGAAAGCTAAGGACGTGTAAAGAAATAAGGATGTGACAAAAGGTCGTGTCAGAAACATAGGCTGGGAAGTATCAAGACGGAGGGGAAAGGATTTTGTGACGCCTCAAAAAAAGGTGTTGATCACATCACATCACATCACATCACATCACATCACATCACATCACATCACATCACATCTTCCAGCACAGACGTGACTAGGTACTTTGAGTCGACTCAGAAGTCAGCTTTAAGTCGACTCAAAAGCAGGCCGACTTTGCGCACACAACAATCCTTAAAGCGCCATAAACTCACATCTTCCACCACAGAAGTCAGTTGGTCCAACTTCCTCTTGAGCTCCTTCTTTGACTCCCGCTGCTGTAATGCGTACTTGGCTTCTTGCTGCTGCTGCTGCTGCTGCTGCTGCTGCTGCTGCTGTTGGTTTTGGTGTGGCTGCTGCTGCTGCAACTGCAACTGCTGCTGCTGCTGGCGGTTCTGCTGCTGTAACGGAAGGTCCGATGGGTGCTGCTGTAGCTTATGCCGGTGTTGCAAGGTGTACAATGACTGGTCCGGCTGATGCAATTGCTGCGGCTGCTGATGCTGATGCTGATGCTGAAGTGGGTAGTGAGAATGATACTGCGACTGGTGTTGAGTCTGGTATTGTGACAGCTGCTGAGACGAATAATGCGACAACGGCAGCTGATGCGACTGAATGTGCGACTGAATGTGCGACTGATTGTGCGACTGATTCTGCAACTGTGTGTGATTGCCTCCAATCGTAACCCCCCCTGCACCTGACCCCCCCACTCTCCATTCCTCCACCCCCCCATGCCGTCCGCCACCTGTCCCTGCGCCACGTGGCATATGCTGTAACGTGCCTCGTGGGATGTGGTGCGACGGGCTACGAGGCATCACGCGCTGCGCCGGCTGCGGCGCAGGGGAAGCGGGGGGAGGGGCGGCTAGGCCCGCGGGGTGGGAGCATCCCAAAAATGATGGCAAGCTAAACCTACTACGAAGCTATTTCCTAGTTACTTTGTGGTTGGTGTCCAGATTTCAGCGTTCTGGTTACTAGCAAACATACTGAAATCATGCGATGTGAGGGTTGGGGCCTCCCGAACGTAAACATGCTGCTAAGTTACTTACAGGTCGGAACGAATGTGTGATCGGCGAAATGCCTGACACTTCTGATTGCACACGAGAACCGGTAACACCGCACGTACGAACGGTATTGTCAGCTGTGATTTGTTCCTGACTTCGGGAAAGGGACATTGCGAAGGTTTTCATTGGTCGAAATCAAAGCAAGGTTGATTGCAGCGTCGAATTGAAACACAACGCGCGTCGCAGTGTCAGATGACATTTGGACTGTTTTTAAAGCGATCCAGTACCCGAATACGAATGTGTACAGTCAAATCCAATCGTTTAAACATAACTCAACACTACAGCGTTGCAACACGAAATGGTAACCCAGTAACTATAAAAATTGAACGGCATGAAATATCCTATTTTGCGAACAATCTGTACATTTAATGATACCACGATTCAACATAAAAGATAGTTACGACATGACTCCAGTAAGGGCTGTCACGGCCAAGATTATCAAGTCTTGATATTACAACACCCGGAAAATACAAATACAAGCACGCACGATCTATATAGTCAGAACTTATCAAGCTAGACTATCACGATGAACTATCACAACCTATCACGCTGAACTAGGTCTCGACGAGGAGGAATAAGGGAGGACACTGAACGCTGGGAAGTCGACCCTGCACAACAACAAAAATATAACCCAAACAAACGTAAGGTTGACGAAGCACATGTCAAGATAAGGACGAACTGGTACTTACCAGAGACTCAAAGAGAGCAGCTGCAGACAGTCAGCACAAAGACGACGTCTGATTGTGTTCTGTTCTTCGAAGAAGACAGGTCAGAGCAGAAGTAACTGCAACAAACAGAAACAGAAGGACACAAGCAGAAGCACCACGAGCGTTAAGCGCTGAAACGCGAACATAGGATTACGTGAAGCTTGTCCTCCGCAGGGAATCATTTTCAATGAAGAAAAGGGAACCGACAGCAGCAGACGAAACTAGGAACGGGAGCAGACGAAACTAGGAGCAGCAGCACACGAAACTAGGAGCAACAGCAGACGAAACTAGGAGCAGCAGCAGACGAAACTGGAAGCAGCAGACGAAACTGAGCCGCAGGAAAACGAGAAGCTAGTGACGAAGTAAAAACTAATGAACGGGGTGGTTGATGCTCACACATAAATGCCAGCGTCTAGAATGGGGTGGAGTGGAGCAGCAAGGAAAGAGCAAGGGGAAAGGGAAGGAGTCTCATTACTTTTAGACTGACGAGAAACGAGTGAGGGCAGGCCAGAAAAACAAAATTAACAGCAAAACGACCGAGAAATAAAGTCAGTCGGGGGAGATTTCTGTTGAAAATAGGAGGCAGAAAGTTAGAAACAGGAAAGAGGGGTTTCACTAGCAGCGGTTGGGATACATATAGCAAACCCTAATTGGGTTGTACTCGCTATAGAGCACCCCACTGCAGGCTAGATAATAACATTCTGACACACCCCCATAGTCAAAGTGGGGTGCAATCAGCAGAGCAAGCAAAGCAGAACAAGCTCAGGGTGGATCACAATGTCACCACACATTCTGAGCACAAGTACAAGAAGCAACAGTTTAAAGTTTACAATTATGAGCAAAGCTAGTGGTAGTCACAGCGGGCAAGTGAGGAGGAGGAGGGACTGTGAGAGGAGAGAAGATGGGAGACGACGGCTGAAGCTGCAGTCACACGGGCAACAGAAGCGGCTGACACTGGCGGCTGACTCAGATAACTGGTGCAGCACAGGCTCACAGTGGCTACCGAGGCAAGCACCCCGGAATACAGGAGTAACAGGCTCTGCGGCTAACTCTGAGCGGCAGGAGCAACGGACCCACGGGCGACTGGTGCAGCACGCTCTCTGCGCTACCAAGGCAAGCACCCCGGAATACAGGCGCTGCGGACGACACGACGGCTGCCTCCACTCAACCTCCTCCAACTGCCCAACGCCCCTCTCACACACCCACTGCTACACCGCTAGCTCCACTCCCACACACCCCCCTTAAACCCTAAATCCAGTCTCCCACACAACCACCCCCCTCAGCGACAGCTGCAGCAGTGGGAGACGAAGGAGGAGGAGGAGCAAAGGGAGGAATGCACACCGATCACCCCCATAGCCGCCACCCCCTAAACCCTAATCCAGGAGAACGGGCTGTAGGAGGGGTGGGGCGCCAGTAGAAGCACAGGGGACAGTGGGGAGGGCAGGGGTAGCGAGGAACGGGCCGCCCACGGGCCTGGCACAGCCGCCCGAACCGCGCGCAGGCGGCCCGAGCAGCGCGCGGGCCTGGCGCATCCCGTACGGGATAAATGTGCGCGCTCGGCTCGGGTCGGGCGGCGGATAAATGTGCGCGCCCGGATAAATGTGCGCGCCCATATAAATGTGCGCGCCCGGATAAATGTGCTCGCGTCGGGCTTGGCGGCTCGGGTCGGCTCGGTTCGGGCTGCTAAGGGCGAGCACGCGGAGCGGGTGGGGCCGTTAGGGACAAGCGCGGGGCCGACGTGGGCGCTAAGGGCGAGCGCGGGGCCTATCAGGGCCGTGAGGGACGAGCGCGGGGCGGATCGGGGCCGTAAGGGACGAGCACGGGGCCGACGTGGGCGCTAAGGGCGATCGCGGGGCCTATCAGGGCCGTGAGGGACGAGCGCGGGGCCGATCGGGGCCGTAAGGGACGAGCGCGGTGCCGACGTGGGCCTCTAAGGGCGAGCGCGGGGGCCTATCGGGGCCGTGAGGGAAGAGCGCGGGGCCGATCGGGCCTCTAGAGGTAAGCGCGGGGCCGATTCGGGGCCGTGTAAGGACGAGCGCGGGGCCGACTGAGGTCTCTAGGTGCGAGAGCGCGGGGCCGACGGGGCCTCTAGGGGCGTGAAAGCCGAGGCGCCTTAGGGCGTAG